GCCATATGTGTTGACTGTGAAACACAGTAGACTTTAATAATATGCATTTATGGTGTAATTACTACATTTTCGTGTCAATCCATGTTCATATTTACTGCAAACAATGCGCTGTTACTTTAATTCAGCGCGTGCAGTGGAAACGATCTCTGCACCGGACCGCAACCGTGTGCAGTGAACGCTTTAATCCGTTAATATGAGCGCGAAAAAAATACGCATCACGTGTGCACTGCAAACGGAGTAATGTGAACCTGGCGTTATGTGTGTGCACTGCGAGTGGGCATGAGCGCACGGTCTGCAGGAGAGCGCGCGAGTGCTGAATGGTTAAACACTGGCAAGAATTAAAAAGTAATGCAAAAACTTTACTTTACTTGTGAGAGCGCGCACGTGGTTATTCAATCACTGTTTGTGAAATTACGTCTTACACAAGGTTTTCAAATTACTTTATAAGTTATTTAATATTTAATAAATATGAAGTTGAGTACCTTCGCCTTCAGAATTATAATTATTTCACCCGCGCCGGACAGAGGACAGAGAAGCGCGGTAAAGTTAGTTTTAGGTTCGATATTTGCCAGACATTCGCTTTCGCGTGCCACTGTTCTATAGAGTCAACAGTCCTACAAAGATGTCACTACCACGATTAGTTTTAACAATATGCAACAACTTTATATCGACATGAAAATATTATTTAAAAACCGCCTAAGTGTATTGTAGCAGCTAATTTAAACCGGAGAAAGCTTTGACGTGCTATAGCTGCGCTTGATGCGTAAGGGACCATCTGACAATTCCACCGATTGGGTTTAAAACGTCCAATGTATTTTAACTAACGTGACTTTTAACATTTAAAATAAAACATTGACAAACTGTAAAGCGTGTATAACTCATAGTGATTTACTACAGGCGGGATTTTGCCAATACCTTCCTTCATATATGCAGTACAGTACACAATTATAATAAACTACTATAAGTACCTAAACGGCTGTTCAAGGTGGTAGTACATTCCTAGTGTCCAGACTGACTTACTACAGGTGAGATTTTGCAGATATCTCCCTTACTGTACGTACAGTATATAATTATTTTTAGAAAACGATTGTAATTCACCATAAGGGGTTTTTTTTATGTTCCAAAGGCTGTAGTATGTTTGTAGTTACAAGACTGATTTACTACAGGTGAAACAGCACAACACAATTGCTTAAGCAAGTAGCAAAACATTTAAAATACTTTTCTTACGTTATCACAAACATTCTAAATTAAATCTTACCACTGACAGAAACAGTCAGCTCTACTGCCTTTTCTTTTGCATTTAAATCTTTATTACAAGCAATCCTGCATTAGATCCGTTAATCCTGCATTAAAGTTCATAAAGAACTTTGTTTTACTACCTCCACGAGTGCCATCTTTTATTGCCTTTTTATCTAAAAGTGCTCTTTTCCTTTAAAACTAGCCAACAAGCCATAGCCATATGTGTTGACTGTGAAACACAGTAGACTTTAATAATATGCATTTATGGTGTAATTACTACATTTTCGTGTCAATCCATGTTCATATTTACTGCAAACAATGCGCTGTTACTTTAATTCAGCGCGTGCAGTGGAAACGATCTCTGCACCGGACCGCAACCGTGTGCAGTGAACGCTTTAATCCGTTAATATGAGCGCGAAAAAAATACGCATCACGTGTGCACTGCAAACGGAGTAATGTGAACCTGGCGTTATGTGTGTGCACTGCGAGTGGGCATGAGCGCAAGTCTCCAGGAGAGCGCGCGAGCGCTGAATGGTTAAACACTGGCAAGAATTAAAAAGAAATGCAATTTATAAACTTTAGTGACAATGTGACACTGCCTCGACTGTGCAAGTGACAATTCCTGTGTCAAATGTGCAGTGTGCAGCTCGCTTATAGGCAGAACCGATGTGTGATGATTTGAAGCCATTTGCGTATTTTGAGAGAGAAAGAGTGAGAGCGCGCACGTGGTTATTCAATCACTGTTTGTGAAATTACGTCTTACACAAGGTTTTCAAATTACTTTATAAGTTATTTAATAATAAAAAAATATGAAGTTGAGTACCTTCGCCTTCAGAATTATAATTATTTCACCCGCGCCGGACAGAGACTGAGACAGCGCGGTAAAGTTAGTTTTAGGTTCGATATTTGCCAGACATTCGCTTTCGCGTGCCACTGTTCTATAGAGTCAACAGTCCTACAAAGATGTCACTACCACGATTAGTTTTAACAATATGCAACAACTTTATATCGACATGAAAATATTATTTAAAAACCGCCTAAGTGTATTGTAGCAGTAAATTTAAACCGGAGAAAGCTTTGACGTGCTGTAGCGGCGCTTGATGCGTAAGGGACCGTCTAACAATTCCACCGATTGACCGGAATTGACCGGACTGATTTACTACAGGTGAAGGTTTGCCAATATCTCTCTTACTGTACATACAGTACATAATTATTCTTAGAAAAAAGTAGTAAAATTCACCAAAAGGTTGTTTTTTCATGTTCCAAAGGTTGTAGCACATTCCTAGTGGTCAGACTGACTTACTAAATTTGAAATTTTGCCGACATCTCCCTTACTGTACAGTACACAAATATTTTCATGAAAAAAATACTGTAATACACCAGAAGTGTTTTTATTAATGTTCCAAAGGGCATAGTACATTCCTAGTTACAATACTAACTTACTATAGGTGACATTTTACCAATACCTCCTTTACTGTATGTACAGTACACAAATATTTTGACAAAATTATAGCAATTTACCTATTTTTTTCCCACACTCCAAAGGTTGTAGGACATTCCTAGATACAAGACTGACTTACTACACATTAAATTTTGCCAATATCTCACTTACTGTACATACAGTACATAGTTATTAATAGAAAACAGTACTAAAATTCACCAAAAAAAGTTTTTTTCATGTTCCAAAGGCTGTAGTACGTTTGTAGTTACAAGACTGACTTACTACAGGTGAGATGTTGCCAATATCAGTCTTACTGTACATACAGTACTTAATTATTCGTAGAAAAAATTACTGTAATTCACTAAAGTGTTATTTTCCATGTTCCAAAAGCTGTAGTATGTTTGTAGATACAACACTGACTTACTACAGGTGAAATTTTGCCAATATCTTCCTTACTGTATGTACAGTACACACATATTTTTGAGAAAATTACTTTAATTCACCAAAAGTTTTTTTTTCCATGTTCCAAAGGCTGTAGTATGTTTGTAGTTACAAGACTGACTT